GTTTAATAAGGATCCGAGTGACTTCTGGCTGATTTAGGCAAACTCGTTCCCATTGGAGGCCGAGTTTAAGTAACATGTCGAGTATTTGGTTGTGTTAGCCAAGTTTTACAATCCTGTATGTAATACAATTTTAAAGTTTTAACCTTATAAAAGACGTCACTATTATCATATGTTGTACATAATCTTCTCTTCTAATAAAAGCCTCTCTAGGGTGCCATATGGCATTCTTCTAAACACCCAATTTACACGTGTCATTTCCTCCATTTTCCTCATAAATATTTTCCCGCCCAAACATTTCCTGAAAATTAAACAAATACCGAAAGTCAATAGTCAATGGTTTTTTAAAAAGAATTCAGTTTCCATATATATGCTTCCATATAAAACGAAAAATTCAAACTAATACGTAATGACATCAGATAAAATCAGAATTTTTTTTAAAAAAATAATTATGTTTCCATATAAATCGGCTATTTCTGTTTCTTATCAAAGTTTTTCCGCCAATACCTTATTTGACGAATTTGACGAATCCACACATTCTCTTATTAATCAGCAAATTTGTTTCCATGTATTTGTGTAACATTTTTTTATGCCGACCATTTATGTAATTAATTGTCATTAGGGCCGGTTATTTTTTTATATTTTAAATGTAGTATTCCAATTTTATTTTCCTGTAATTGTGTATTGTAATTATGTATTTATCTATGATATATTTTCGTGTAAGATGTTGACCTTGGTGGTGATAAATTCTCTTTAGTTTTCTGATATATTCCCTATTTATTTTTATTTATTTTTTCAAATCTGGTGAAGTCTTCTTAAACTACACTAAAATAAAGCATTTATTTTTCTTGCACTCCTCCTTCCTTTCTCCTGTTTCTATCTTAACTTATGTTTCCTTCAAATTAAAAACTAGACATCTTTTCATCTCATATTTAATCCATTTCTTATTCATCTGACAAGGTAACCAATTACTCCAATAAATCTATTTTTACTTAGGGTATGACAAGCGTTACAAAGCTACTGAAAAAACAGCAGCAATCAAAGACTCCATATATCTTCTAAAAAAACAAGTCAGGGGCAAAAACGTCAAAGGCAGAAAAAATGCACCAAATTACCAAACTATGAAAGCATAACTGCATGTGTCAAGACCACCAAATCAGACCAACCAAAACAAAAACAACCGGAGACTAACACTCATTAAGGGAACCAGGAGCAAAAATGTCAAGAGCCCAAAAAAAATTTACATGTTAATCTTATATGTATCTGGTTGTATGCGTTTATGCAAGTGTGAATGTGTGTGTGTGACTTTTAGTATAAAATACAGTTTTGGTGAATGTAACAATATACTTTCTATATGTAAATCTGAGTAATGGATACAAAAAGAGCATTGATATGATTTACTTTCCAGCAAAATCTTAAAATTTTTACAAATCTGCCCTTACTACTTGTCTGATGTAGCATTGAGGAAGCATAAATATTAAATATGTTATTTTCAACCCCTAAATTCTTTTTAACATTATGATTTAAATTAGATATAAAAGTAATTCGAATGTATTGTGGATATAAAGGTTAAATAAGTCGAATGTTATATAAGAATAAGCTTTACAACATTATTTACCCTTTATCTCTGAGATTAAACAATTTTACCCTTTATATCTTATTGTCTTCAAAATACCATCGGTTGAAGATTTAACCGGTTGTTTAAAATCAGTCAATTTTTGGGAGTGAAAAACAAAGTTTTTTTTAATTGCTTTAGGACTATAATTTCAAACTACTCACTAGGCACTAATATGAATTTGATCGCTTCATTTTGCACATATTTAACCATGATATCTAGCTAATCATTATAAAACTCCCAATCTAATCTCGGAAGGTATATAAAATTCAATTAATAAATGATTTGCTAATATTAATCACATGCATAAATTTAACCCTAATATGTAGCAAATTCAAAATTCAAAATTTCAAACTATTATGCACAAAGTATGAAAATCATAATTTCAGCAAAATTGAAAGCTACCTGATTGTGTCTCCACTCTTGAAGTATTTCGAATTACTCCTCATACCATTTCATTCTTCGATAACTTCTTCAAAAAAATCAATTTTCTGCAAATCATAATCAGGTATAATTTCTTCCAACCAATCTATGTTCTGTTAAAACAAATATCATTAACAAAATTTTATATCTTACCTTCAGTTTTCACATCTTCAAACCCTATTCACTTCGTACCTTCAATTGTAACATCGGTATAACTTTATACCCCGTTCAATTTGATTCAATGATTGTATATTCCTATCTGCCTTCATCGATAGCAATGGACAAACTTTGATATCTTTCTGAAATGAATGCCTTGGAGTCGTTAATCTTGATTGCGAAGATATCAATTTCGAGTGCCGATTTTGCTAGGTCTTCTTTTCTATTACAGCAAAAGTGACAAAGGGGGGGTTATTACTAATTGATTTTCTTGTACGTGGGAGAAATAGGGGTTATTACTTATGTTAATCCTTCAAATAATGTTTATTTTTCTAATTTTTTATATCAATAATATTTAAATAATTTGTATTTGTATGTATCCCAATTTATTATTAAAACAACTATAGTTTTAATAATCAACTAAGAATTTATATTGATATGTGGTATTTATTAAATTATAATTTAAATTGGCATAAACTATTTAAATTGTCATTTTATATATTATACTCAACAAAAAATAAGTAAATTTTATTATGTAATTTTATGATTTAGAAATAACATTTATTTTCTATTTGGTTAGTATTCAATTCGTCAAATGAAGTTTATGCAAATTATATAACCTACCAATCCCTGTAACATTATCTATCAAATTATTAATTTTGTTTTTCACTGTACTTTTTTATTTTTATTCTACATCAAATAAGAACAAGAATGCAACGGATGCTAGAGAGAGAAGAAAAAAGAGAAAGTTATATTTGAATAATAGAAAATCCAAAAAATATTTTACCACATCATCATCTCACCATACACCTACCGGACATGCTATTAATTTTAGCCAATACGGTAATCTTCTTGCTTTATTTTGCATTTATAATTATAATATGTTTTATTTATATTTAAACTTAATATAAAAATGTCTTTAAGTTGTTTTATACTATTTTTCAGGTTCAAAACATTGCTCAATAACTAAGTTATAATTTAATTGAATTATTTTTAAATTTCTTTCCCGTGGTGTCCACGGGTTATAACCTATTATGGTAATATTTATGATATAGAACATTTTTTTTTTTACTATTTAAGATAAAAAACTGTCTCTATTATCATATGTTGTACAAATGATAAAATTTAAGATAGATAAAAAAATGTCTCTGTTATCATATTTTCTATATAATGATAATATATAATATTAACGTTTTAATTTAATATGAAATTATTATTTAATAGATAACAATAACGATTTATTTATTTTTAAAATGTAATTTTTTTCTATTTTAATCATATAACTTTATATATGTAAAACAACTTCAAGTTCCAACTTTATCTATTATAATATAGTTCAACATAATACCAATACTAAAAATTATTTTTTATATTTTTTTATGAAATTGTTATTTAATTGTTAATAACAATGATTTAGTTATTTTTAATATAAAATATTTTTTTATATCGCACGCAACGCGCGGACATTCGCCTAATCATAATATTATAAAGCAAAGTTAAGAAAGAATATGTCGGCAAGAAGATGAAGAGTAAAATAACATATATCATGCGTAAAATAACATATATCATGCATGTATGTTTTAGAGTAAACTACACGGATGGTCCCTATGGTTTAGGGTAATTTGCGCGTTTGGTCCCTAATTTACTTTTTTAATTCGGAAGGTCCTTCCTGTTTGTTTTTGTTACGCGTTTGGTCCCTGGTTTACCTAAAAATATTATTTTTCCTTTGATTTTTTAATTTATTTAAATAAACACACCCAACACCACTCCCTTCACCTTATTTTACCTACCCCACCATTTTTTCCTATATAAATAATAGTTTTTTTAAGTAAGAAATAGACCAAGTGCGTAATAAAAACAAACAGTAGGGACCAAGTGCGTAACAAAAACAATTAGTAGGGATCTTCCGAGTTAAAAAAATAAGTTAGGGACCCAACGCACAAATTACCCCAAACCATAGGGACCATTCATGTAATTTACTTTATGTTTTACTTTTGAAGACCAAAGGAACTAAAACCAATCCAAGTTTCTAAGTAGCAGTTTCAAGTAGGCCGTCATACTAATGGTTTGTTATTTTCATAACCGAAAACATAAAGACGGAAGTTTTAGATCTTAATCACAAGTCGGTCGAAATAAAAATGTTAACCTGAAAAAACGATTACATACGTGATTTCATTACAATCTTTGGATCTGAAGAACTACGGTTAGGTTTCTCAGTTGATGTCAATAAATCTATTTAAATCCCACAACAAAACTATGAAACAAATTTCTTGTTTGTATTTTCGTATATTATAAATTAGTTTTTAATCACGTAATTATATAGATGGAGATATAACCGAATGTGAGAGATATTACAGATTTAAGAGATCTTGAATCAAATTGGTAACTCAATCCACAATATTAACATGATAAATGTATATCTTTATTTATTAATAAAATGAATCCATCAACAATCTTATATAATTTCCACAAAAATATAAAATTAATCATAACATTATTTCTATATATTTATTAATGGCCCAAAAATATCCAACAATACCTCCTATTCTAGTAGTGAATTATCCCTTTATATGAATCGGATGAATTTGGGATAATCACTAAAAAATCGATTTAAGGCCCTTTCTTTAAGTTATTGTTGCACGTTTATTTGGAAAAATCCACGGATATCTTATATGTGCAATATAAAATTGTTTATATATTTTTAACGCATGTGTAGGATGGAAGAAAAATGCATTAATTCATTTGTTAGTAACATTAATTGATCTAGCAAAAATATTTATTGCTAGTTATTCTGGAAGCAAACATATTCATCACATCAACAAATAAACTAGTACAATGAGTTCTTGCCAACCATATCTAGTAACAAGACTCTAGTTTGTGTAAACACCAACAAAACCAGTGTCACTCGAACCCACATATAGTGCATCATTGCTCTCCTGAACCACATCAATAGCCATGTTAAAGAAATGGGGAAGAGGCACGGTTTGGACCACTGTTGCAGACCCATTCACCCTTATCCCATGAGGTTCACTCAACGTCGGGGACTCTTGAACTTGTTTCTCTACTGCCACCCAAAACTCTCCATCATTTGCAGCCCTTTTAATATTTTTTGGGTTCCCACAATCAGTCAGAAAGACCTCGTTTGTGTCTTTTTTTGGTCCTTGAAGCCAATGCCTCTGGATTTTGTTGTTCACGTACTCTGGAACCAAAACATATTTTCGATCACTACTAACCGAAGGACCACCCGCTCCTGAGAGTCCACTTAACAAAGTGGTTACCCGTTGAGTTCTTGGATCGTATTTCAAGAGCCTTCCAGTAGAGTCAGGCTTAAACCCTGGTTGTGTCATATCTCTGCACAAAAAAAAAAAAAAGTAAAATAAATAAATAAACATGTGAAGATTATTTTTATATCTAAGGTTGTATGCTTTTTACAAGGAATTTCAATATGTTTTAATTGTTAAACCATAAAATATCTTTGAGGTGGTTAACAGAACAAATTTCAAATTATAGCGATTTTTATGAAATGAAAGTTTTACGTAGTGGTTTTATTGAAAAACATATTAAACAATTTACAAACTATACTCGTTTTATGGAATTTGGCCTTATTTTAATAATAAATTAGTTATTTTTGGAGATCTTGCTTTTCGAAAATTTACCTTATGTTGTAAGTCAAGCTAGCGTCAACCACATAAACATTTCCTGTGTATGATTCAACATCGATACCAGAAAGGTACTTGAAACCACTGGAAACCTGAGTTGCAAGGCCACCATTGAATCCCACAACAAGGAGACCAAAAAAAGCATCGGTGATATAAAGATCACTCGTTTTATAGTTGAAGCTAAGAGCCACTGGTCTCCCACATATTGCTCCTAATTTCAGATCATTTGTCCCATCACACAATTTCTTCGTCCTGAAAGAATAAAAGCATGATTTATCAAGTCATTAGAATTATGTACTTCAGCTATTCAGCATAACCAATAATTCGAACTTGTAGCATTTGGTGACTAAGGAGGAAACGTTAGTTAGCTACTCATTGGTGCACACTTACTATATATAATATTAATTAATCATGCAATTATCGGCTACATATGTGAAAGTGAAATGTGTGGCTACGGAAATTAAAACAAAGTAGCACAACCTGTTAGGTGAAGTGTAGGCAAAATCAAGGAAGCCGGTTGTGGGGCCTTGCCATTTTAGGATTCTACCATCTGCGACTGCCACGTAGGGACCTTTACCTCCACGGTCTAAGGCAGCGGATGCAGGACCTGTGACATTTGGGGGCAATACGAGTTTGTTGAAAGTAGTATACTCATTGGATAACACATTTCCCAGAAGCAAGAACCAAACAATCAGATCGACAAGAAACTTGCTGCTTGTTTTCATTGCTACGATGTATGTAGACACTGTTTATAGTTATTTTTCAATTCGAATGCATATTTTCATTTACATATGCTTGTATATATACACGTTCAAAGCTAACCCACGCACACATACTATACATGTAGCAACAACTTGTTACAGTTGACTACTGTATCACCCATTTTGGGATAAAGATGATTGCTTAAACTTGGTGAAAAGGACACCGACTTCTGTGTATTAAATGTTTACAAGTCGACGTCACCCTGCATGCATGGAATTACTTAGTCAACAGTTCTTTATCCTTTTCTTTTTACTACAAATATACTTGTTTATTCAATTCTACCCCCTGTTCCATCTAATATTCTCATATATATATATATATACATATATATATATATATATATATATATATATATATATATATATATATATATATATAATATATTTACGTTGTTCATATACCCTTTATTCATGAATGATTACTAGTTTTTTACATGTTACATATATAATGCCCTGAAAAGATTAATTTTTTTATCCACACGTTTGTTACTGCACATCGAAATGTGTAGGAATCTAATTAACTCAATAAAGTTAAAGCCTGTCATATAATTTGCGATATTAAGAATCATTTTATAGAAACAAACTTCGCTAATTAAAGAGGGAGTATACATCTATTATCTATATTCGCAATATTTGCTGAAGAAGTTACCAAAAACTATAGGTTTGGGGAAAGGATGATTCATTTAACCATTACGTAAAGTATGAAATCCAACACAGGCATGTATAAATGCAATCACAAGTCAACACCTTCTTTTATAAATTAAAAACGAAAGTTCTTTTACTAAGAATAAGGGTAATGTCTGCATTGGCCAATAATATAAATCAGAATGTTTGTTCTCTGCCGTCAACTTTCCGTAACATATTTTGCAACTTGACAACAAACATGTAATCTGTCATATATATATATATATATATATATATATATATATATATATATATATATATATATATATATATATATATATATATATATATATATATATATATATATATATATTATATATATATATATATATATATAATCAAATATTTATCTCATTTGTCATATATTGTTTACCAACTTTCTTCATTTTATTGAACATCAATAAAAGTTCAATGAACGGTGTATATATATATATATATATATATATATATATATATATATATATATATATATATATATATATATATATATATATATATATATATATATATATATATATCCGTTTACCAGTGACACTATTACCGGCGTCCGGCGACAAGGGCTTTAGCGGCGACTCTAGATATTGTTGTCACTAAAACCCTTTGTCGTTGGTAAAGGGTTGGCACTCGGATCCCCACTTTCACCATCTTTTACATCTAAACCGTTCGATGAGATATCTAATCGAACGGGTGGGGTGTCTTATCCTATGTAACCTAATATCGGCGACATATTTGTCGCCGCTAAAGAGTTAAAAAAGTTGCCGCTAATAGTTAACGAAAAAACACGCGGTACCCTTCCCTCCAGTTTGTCGCCGCTATTGCTAAAAGTCGTCGGTAAAGCTCTACCTGTCGCCGCTAAAGGTGTCGCCGCTATTGCCTCTCGCAGATAAAAAAAAAAAAAAAGAAAATGCACGAGGAAACCTCATTTCTCCATTTGCTTTCTGTTTGCTACGCTTCTTTCCTTCGCTATTTCCAGCTTCTTCCGATTTTCAGCTTCTATTTGCTTGTTCCTTGCAAATTTTTTCGCACATTGTGTCCTATTAAGAATCTAGGTGTGGTTAAAGCTTTTGGGACCAATTTCTAACTCCATTTCTTCAACAAAGGTAAGTTGATTTTGTAATTTCCTTTTCAATTTGTATGTTAACTTCGATTTTTAGTTTCTAGTGATTGAATGGTAATAAATTGTTCATATATTTGTTTTTTGTGGTGTTGTTTTGGATTAGGTGTGGTTAAAGCTTTTGGGACCAATTTCTAACTCCATTTCTTGAAGAAAGGTAAGTTCATTTGCTAATTTCATTTTTAATTTGAATATATGTGAATTTGTTGTATATATGCCAATGTATTTGTAATTGATGTATATGTGGTATATGAGTATTTGGTAAAAATGATATGTATTTGTTATAAGTAGGATGTTATTGTGTGTATATGAATGTATGTATGTTTGTTGTAAATGTGGTATATGATTGTGAAACTTTTGTATTTGGTATAAATAGGATGTTATTATCTATATGTGAAATTATGTGTATTTAGTTTAAGTAGGATGTTATTTTGTGTGTATCTGTATGTATTTGTATTTGGTGTATATGTGGTATATGTATGTAAAAGTATGTGAATTTCATCCTCTTATGTATTATGTAAAAGTATGTGGTTTTGGTATAAGTAGGATGCTATAATTGAAAAAAAAATTATTGTTATAATTTGAAAAAAAAAACAAATATATATATATATATATATGTATATGTATATATATATATATATATATATATGTATATATAAAATTATTTAAAAATTTATGAGAGTGTGGCTTTTGTTTATGTTTACCATGGCTGCTATCATGGGTCATGGACATAGGGGAGATGGAGTTGAGGACCCAGGTGGTAGAGGTCCTGGCTAGCACGAGCAGGACGGTAAGTCTTATCATGAATTTTTATTTACTATTTTCGTTCAATTATCATAAATTAAATATCGTTTCTAATAATTTTTAATTACATTTGTAGTTGAGGAACGTGCTCGAAGGAAAGTTCGAGGAAAAGCTAAGAATATAAAGCTTGAAAAAACAATCTTACAGAACCAGGGGAAACCAATTGGCATGCAATATAATAGGGATATCACATTTAATCCCGTAGGAGAGGCGGGAGACATGTTTTCCCGAGAAGTTGGAAAAACAATGTGGTAGATGGTCCCTTTTGATAAATGGAGTTGGAAAAGAGTTTCCCCCTGATATAAAGGACACTGTATTACAACATTTAGTGGTAATTATTTATTTAAATATATTTTATAGGGTTAACTATAATTGTTTTTTACTTGGTTAACTTTTTTTTTGAAGACAAAGTTTGATCTCAATCAAATGTACCAGGATGCACAAGCTAATCTATTGACAAAGAGTTTTGAAGCAACATTGTTAAAAGGTTGTCGAGAGCGTAAAGCTGACGCAAAAGAATATTTCAAGATGGTCGGAGGGTATGAAGATATCCCGAGAGCATTGGCCAATCCTCCGGATGGTATGCTTGTTGATAACTGGGCGAAGACAATTGAGTATTTTCAAACTGACGAACACATAATTGCTTCAGAAAGGAACAAAAATATTTGTGAAAAGCAAACATATGTGAATCGTGGGGGTTCGAGCTCGTATAGTAGTACTTGCTATAAGAAGGTACCGTACGATACATGTAATTATTTATTTAAAATATAATTTAATTTTTAAAGTTAAACAGAAACTTAAGAGAGTGGAAACATTTCGCAAAGCTCATACCGATAAGAATAGTGTATTTGTTACTGCTGAATTGGAACAACAATATGTAAGTATTTAATTATAATTTTATCATATATTTAAATGTTTATTTATACTTAATTGTTACTCACTTTTGGGAGTTACAGAATCGGTTAGTTGAAGAGCTGTTAGAACAAACTCAAGGTAAAAGTGAGTTAACACCCGCTCAAGAAAGAGCTACGTTCGAGAAAGTATTTGGAGAGCAACGTGTTAGAGGCATTGGCCGCAAACCTTCTGGTCTCCCGACGATTCCACAGCCTTCGCAACCATCACAACCATCACAGGTAAAATAACAATCTACTTTAGCATCGTAAAATGCATGTTGATTTGGTAGTTTATGTTTTGTGGTGATTCTTTGCTAAAAAGTTTGGTAACTTGGTTTTTATCCCAAGTGCAAGAAATAGCAATGTACTTTGATTTTCTATCTTAGTTTAAAAATAGCAATCTACTTTAGCATCGTAAAATGCATGTAGAATTGGTAGTTTTGGTTTTGTGGTGATTATTTGCTAAAAAGTTTGGTAATTGAGTTTTCGTCCCAAGTGCAAGAAATACCATTGTACTTTGGTTTTCTATCTTTGTTTAAAAATAGCAATCTACTTTAGCATCGTAAAATGCATGTTGATTTGGTAGTTTTGGTTTTGTGGTGATTATATGCTAAAAAGTTTGGTAATTTGGTTTTTGTCCCAAGTGCAAGAAATAGCAATGTACTTTGGTTTTCTATCTTAGTTTAAAAATAGCAATGTATTTTGATAGTTTTTGTTTATGTTTGACAATCTAACTTATAAGTTTATATATACTATTATTAATTATGTAGTTGGAAAATCTTCGTGCAATGCTCACCGACCCGGCATGTAGGGATGAGCTTTATTCGTTTTTTCAATCCCAAAATAATCAAGGAAACGATGGGACGACGATGATGGTATGTAAGGATGGGTCTTTTTTGCATATGTTGTCACGTTTTGCTACTTGGTAGATTGTAAAAATTTTGTTGTTTTGCTACTCGGATATTATGACTTTTGATATGTAATTGTATTTGGATGTTTGTTTGTAATTTGCATTGACATTATTATGTTTGATATTTAATAGGATGTTTGTTTTGTAATTAGCGTCGACACTATTGGTTTTGATATTTAATCGAATAATGTTATTACCATCGACACTTTTACCGGCGACATTATCACCGACAACCAAAATCATTAATTAAAAAAAAATTTACCGGCGACAGAAGTTATTACCAACGACACTTTTACTGGCGACAAAAGTCATTACCGGCGACTACCTTATTAGCGGCGATAATACTCATTAGCGGCGATAGAGTCAATAGCGGCGACTTTTATCATTAGCGGTGACAAACTGATCAATAGCGACGAAGCAGTAGCGGCGACTCAGTACCAGTGACGTGTCGCTGCTATTAGTATTACCGGCGACTTTTGGGACTTTTACCGACAACTTTTGTCGCCGGTAATGGCCTTTTTCCTTGTAGAGGAACCCGAAAACCAAAAGTGGAGCTTTAGATCAATTATTTGTATGGCTTAGATGTTTAGTGACAAAATTTGTAAATATT